CTTTAAGTTGCAGGCAGGTGAACATGAAAAGGAAAGAATACAGTCTTCTTTGACCCCGCTCCCTGCTTTTAAAAGGTTCTAGTTGAAATACTGCAGAGCTATTGCTATTACTTAACGAGGAACTGTAACGTCATTAGTGACTTTAAGGTAAGCTAAAACATAACAGCTGTTAAGCAGCACTTAGTAATAGTACAGGAGGAGTTATAGGCCTCTCCGGTTACATTTCTCTTCTTCTAAGTATTCCTCTCTACCACTCCACTTTATTTCACTGTACAGAACGCTCTTGCTGCAGGCCGAGACAGATCACCCAGAGTGCACACGCAGACCCTATCAATTTAACTTGTTCCATACCTGAAGTACACAAGCAACTTAACAGTGACAGGCGCATATTTCCACCACTAATGATGACACAGCTACTTTAAAGGCCATTTATTATAGGTGTGCTGGCACCCCTATGACCCTAAGAAAGTTATGCAATAATCTAGTGCTTTGAGGTTATTAAACTCCATAGTGGTGAAAAACACAGAGAACCATGAAAGAAACGTCAGCAGCGCTGGGGGGAGCGAGAAGCCAGTACCCAAGCAGTAAAGCAGTATCACAGCCTCAACTTCAATCTCTGGACTGACTCTTAAATTATTAAAATTGCAACGCTGCCAAACAGAGTCAAACCTTTCCACGTGCTCAGAAGCGTTGCCTTTTCCTCCCTGTACCAGGAGTCAGCGGAGCAGTCCCTCCATACCCCCACCGGGCCGCGGTGCGGGGAGGTTTCCCAGCCTCTAGCCGGCTCGCAAAGGCAGGAACAGGAGCCAGGGGCGCAGGCAGCACCGGCGGGGGTCCTGCTGGGCCGTGCCCGGTTCGGAAGCAGAGCGATGGGACTAAGAGTTATACAAACCCGTTAAAACAGCTCAGCGCTAAAACCCTCACGTGATCCCCTTCGCCTCCCGGCCCGCACAGCTCCCGCCTCACGCGGGGCACGGCGGAGGGGCGGCTGCTAAATTCCCCGCTTTTACAGCTACTCTTGAGAAATAAACATATTTTTTAAAAAGCCGCACACTGCGCAGACTCCGGCCCAGCCGCGGCCAAACACAGAAGCAGAGACGAGTCCCGTCGCCACCAGAGGATCCATCACGGGCAGGAGGCAAGGATGACGGCGGAGCACCGGGGCCGCACGGGGGACAGGCTGACACGGCTCAGCCGCCTCCTTCCCCGAGCTCTCCCCTCGGTGCCGCTCCCGTCGCGAGGCGGACGCGACACCGAGGAACCAGGCGCCCTCCGGGCCGCCTGACGCCGGCAGCGTCCCCGCCGAGCGGCCCGGGGGCCCCGCCGCCGGCACCGGCCGCGCTGGGCCCGCATCCCCCGCTCCTCACGCGGCATCCACACAGGCGGCGGGGAATAAGGTCACCGACCGCCGGCCCCCGGCCCGCACTCCCGGCCGCCCCCGCTCCGGTAGGGGCCGCCGGCCCCGCAGCAGAAGGCCACAGCCGCGCGGGGAAAGCGGG